CGCACAAAAGTGCACGTGCACGCTGACATGAGGAACAGCAAATAGATAGAAACGCACACACACAGACACACAAGTAATTTTGTGATTTCTGGCCTGTTTCTTGACCCGTAGTTTACCTCAACTTAAAGCTATCAGTTAGAGAGAGAATGGCCCTCAGTGTGTGTGTTTGAATCATTGCACCTCACCTCCAGAGGCAAGCGTGTCCTTGTGTGGACCGATTGCAATGTGAACCAAGGAGGAATGCATAAATCCACACATTTGTATATTGTTTTCCCCGAGGTCCTCTCTTTCTGTTTAACCTTGCCCCAGTTTAATTAGACCATAAAGCTCTGATTTAAAAGCTCTGAGGCAGTGTTAGGGATTCAAAAGGAGTTTCAGGTTTCGTGCCGGTCCCCACATCACAGGAGCAATTGTAGATTTGAATGAGCTCAGGTCGCAATCAGAGAGAAGAAATGAATTGAGGCCCACGGCTGAAAAAAGTGTATCCTTTCTAATCTGTTCACAAAAACAACTCAAACCAGTACGTGGAGCTGGTTTTGATGCATGGGAATCTTAATTTAGCCAAGCAAGGTTTACTGAGCACACCCTGTTACATATTCATGAAGTCACACCAACCAGGATAAACCACTCTAGATTTAGCTGCTCCTCTGGATGTGTTGGACTTCGAGTGCATTGCTCAAAGGCATATTAATGGTTGCTGCTGTTTTGGGGGGGGATATTTTGAGGATGGAGGGAATTGTAAAACTATACTGTATATGACTTCAGTTACTACACATAGTTTTCATGTTCAGTTTTTCCTCAAACCCTGATTATTATAGGGTTGGCCATTGTTTTTGTTTCTGAATCCGATTCAATGTTTGCGTAACAATTCTGGTTCTCATCAAATTACATTTTACTGTAAATATTATATATGTATGTATGTATGTATATATATAAGTTTATGTTCTTCTTTTTTTGAGTTTTTACATGTTTATATATTTACTATACTTGTTTATATTCACTTGCATTTATTGCATTGATTTCATTTTTTTAACGAATCTTCTCATTGTGTATTTATTGATCATTGATAGATTGATATGTATGTAAAGTATGTTTTTATTGGACCTTTCTCTCCCGTCTTTACACCGGCAGCTTGAACGAAAAACACAACGAAACACCAGAGACTCAAAGAGAAACTGTAAATGAACAGAAAACAACAGATGGAAGAAACAATTTAACAACAACAACAACAATAACAACAACAACAACAGGTAAAGATTTCAGCTTCAGGTGTCCAGACAGTGAGCAGAACCAGCAATGCTGCCACCTGCTGGTTCCTCACGATAAAAACACACTCACTGATGTTCTCTATCATCAGTAAACAGACTGGATATGTCATATTGATCAGTATCAATAACAGCTGATCAACTGATCAATGA